AAAGCATGTCGATATTTCATTAAAAAGAATCCTTTATTTATTAATAGCAAGGAAGTTAATGATCTTCACTCTGTTTCCACTTTTCACTGAGCCTCAGTGATGGGCTCATGAAACCCTGCTCTTCGAGGAGGGGCTGGTGAGTTGCTGGGAAGCAACCCAGCCCTTCATAAATGTTGTGATCGTATGTCTCGAACCTCAATAAGTAACGAGGGGCTGAACCCGAATGCTGGGAGTGCTGTAGTGAATTGACTCCAAGATCTGTCCAAGCATCAGGAGGCTGCACCCATCCCCATCTCTCACCACTTTGGAGAGTTGGAAAGAAGGATGGATTGAGATGCTTCAGGGAGTGTCCAGATGAGGCAAACCTGTTGTATGCCGTAATGGGCAGCGAGTGTGAAAGCATGGAAAGGGAGGCTGAGAAACTCATTTGAGGGTGTTTTCCACTTATCCCCTTCCCCTGGCTATCCTTATCCAATTCCCACTTCCGAGAGTTGGGTGCCCCGAGCTTGGCTAGCTACATCTCCCCCCTCAGGCTTCTAATGGTACCCCCAGGGCTTTGGGGGGCTAATTCTCTAATGCCCCCCCTTCCCCCGAAATCTGCTTCCCTCCAAGATTAACAATTGAGAATCGTTTAGTCAGGCAGCCTTAAACAGCTCTTAGAAAGGACTATTTACCACCAAGTGATTAAAACCCCCCTCCCCCGACCGGAGTCCGTGACAGGCTCCTGGGCCAAGCAAGGTCATTCGGTTTACCCTACCTACAGAGTCCTGGGGAAAGGGGGCTGGAGCTTAGAGAGTGGCCAAAGAGTAACCCACAGCTCCTAGTCCCTGGATGTGCTTCCGCCAATTTGTGGGGGCCTCGGGAAGATGCAGTTAAGCATGCTCAGTCTGTACCCATCCCCCGTCCTTGGCTCCCAGAGCAGACCCTGCTGCCAGCTGAGCTGGGGGTGGGAAAGGGGAGGTCTAAAATCTACCGGACCCTTTCAAGCTCATAAAGTCCTCCTCCCGCAAAAAGCAGAGGGATGGAGACCTGGCTAAAGGCTCTCTTCTCCCTCCGCAGGTATGGAGTGCTGTGGGGTGCAGGAAAGCCCTGCTTGCTGGAGGAGGCTCTTGTTATCCTGGTAATTGATAGCTGACCCCCGAAACACAGCTAAGTGCCTAGTCTAAGGCCTGTAGGTGATTGAACTGTTTCCTTTTGTTAGGGTATCCAAGCTAAAATGGGATGGGGTGGTTCAGCCCTACCCTTACGATGATAAGGGTAGGAATTGTGGCCTGGCCCTTAGCAGGGTTTGCCCAGGAACGTGCTCAAACCCAGAGTCTGATGGCTGTTCTCTTCTTTTCAAAATCTGGGCCACTTTTGCCCTTCCCCAGTCTTGCGATACCTCAGAGATCCTGGACTGTGGCTCAGACATCATGGCGGCCAGTTCTCCCAGGACCCGAGGATGGAGTTCTTCCCTACTCTCCTGCCATCCCACTGGAGTTTATTTTGGTTTTGTTGTGTCCAGCATAAAGAGAACAGCAAAATAGGAAGGGAGTAGCTCTGATCTTGCCCCATTGTCGGGTCCCACACACCCCAAGCGAGGGTCCTGCCTCTTCCGGGTTCCTCTTCTTCTAAAAAAAACCCCCTTTGTGTTCTTAGCTTACAGCTATCCTGGGCTTCCGCATTCCCGACATCACTTGTTATAAGACCTCGATGTTCTCTCAGATCCACTTTGTGCTCCACGGCCTTGCTTTTACCTTCTCTGCATTTCTTTGATAATCGAGGCTGATTTGTGAGTTCCCTGGGTGTCCATACCAGTCTCTTCAGACAAATTGCATTTGGCTCCTGGTTGGAATCTCATCCTTCAGCATCTCCCTCCGCCCCAGGCTAATTTCCCTTGAAGTATTTTTAAGAACGGGATCCTGCTTATCCTCCAAATCCACTGAAATCTGCCTTTTCAAAATTTAGGGTGAAGGCCAGTTCTCTCCTTTATCACAAACCACCAGTGGAGTGGGCACCCCTCCCCAATTTCCCTTCATTTCTATCCCAGCAATGGTCATCTCTGCTAGTGACAATCAAATCCAGGCTAGAATTTTCCCTTATTGGTTTCTTCACATTTTGAAGGATGGAATTATGGCACTGATAATTACTTGAGAAAGGAGGAGGGAAAGAAGGGAGACAGAGACATAGACACACACACACACACACACACACACACACACACACAGAGGGAAAGGGAGAGAGGGGGCTGAGAGGGACAGACAGAGATGGAGGGAGATAGGAGGGGAAGAGAAGGAGAGAGACAGACAGAAGGCAGACAGACAGACAGAAAGAGTAGAGAGGGAGAGAAGCGGGATTGGTCCCGTTATGCTTCTGTGCCCCTCTTGTGATCTGTTTCCCAAATTCCTTATTGCTTCCTTCTTTCGATCCAGGAGGCCTATAGGTCTCTGGTCACTTTTGAAAGGGTGCTTAAAGAGAAATACCAGGAAGGTTGAGGTACCCTTGAGAAGGTCCATGATTGAGTGAGGTCTGGGGAAGACGGTGTGGCCATGAGGAAATTACTTTTTACATTGAGCCTCAGCTTTCTCATCTGTAAAATGGTGATGGTAGCACCTTCTTTCCCTACCTTCCTGGGTTGTCATGAGGCCCAGGGAAATGCTTTTTAAACCTCGACATGTGCTATCAAAGGTAGTATTGATTACGTTTGGTGCTAAAATGATCATTCACATTCCACTTTACCTGTTATTCTGGCCTTTGAGATCACCAGGTCAAGGGGAGGGAACCTCTGGTGAAGGGGGCCGGTCCATCCTTGGGCTTGATTTCTTCTAGCATTTAGCATAAACATAAAGAGCCCATCCCATTGATGCCAATGGTTGTTTAAAGTCTTTAAGAGCAGTGACCCAACCGGCCACAAGATGGAGGTGTTACCCCAGGAACGTCGACCTGTTCCTTTTGCAAAATAGAGAGTTTATGGAAAATTCTGACTTCTCTTCTCCCTCCCCAGTCTCCAAACTCTTCACCTCAGTATCTTGGTGACCTAGAAGAGACAGCAGAGGGTGGTGGATATGTCTATTATTTGTGGGGTTTAATGACTGCAAATTTATGTTTCTGGATCTGACCTTGGTCTCAGTTTTTAAAGGGGGATGTCTTCTGTTCAGGGGTGGGGAACCTTCAGCCTTCTGGTTGAATCCAAAGGTTTGTTCTGTAAAATCTGGGTTCAATCAAAAGGCTGAACTTAAGGGTTTAGAAGGCCATGTGTGGCCTTGGGGCCATAGGTTCCTCACCCCTGTTTGTGTTTCTCAAACCATGAAGTGACCTCTGTTCCTGTGGTCCTTTATGAATTTTTTTTTCAGTGAGTAACCCATGTGCTGTTCTACATGGAATGCCTCTTAGCTGGGTGTACCAGTCAAGGTGGGAGGGGTACAGGAGAGAGATGGAGGGAAAAAGCATTTATTAAGTACCTACTGAGTGCCAAGCACTCTACTAAACACTTTGCAAATATCATCTCCTTTGGTCCTCACAAACCATGTGAGGTAGGTGCTAGTGTTATCCCCATTTTACAGATAAGGAAACTGAGGCAAACAGAGGTGAAGTGACTTGCCCAGAGTCACACAGCTTGGAAGTTTCTGAGGCCAGATTTGAACTCAGGTCTTCCTGACTCCAGGCCCTGAGATCTTTCCACTGTACACCTAGAGGATTGTAGACAGCTGAGTATCCATCAATCAGCTCGCTAAGCCTACGCCACTGTGCCTTTTAATCTGTTGGGTTCCTCTGCCTCCAACCCTAACTTCAAGGGCCATTCATGGCAATGTACCTAGGAGTCAAGATATTTCCTGTGGAGTCTCTGCATTTGGGTTGGGGGGTCCTCTCTTGCCTGCTAGAGCCAAGGCTGAAGGGAGGATTTTCAAGGACACAGAACTTTTTGGGTTCACCCACTCAAGGGAGTAAAGATTGTCACTTCCAGGGATTTTTCAAAGTTTCATGGAGCGCTTTAATAACTGATGCTGAAAAACCATTTTGTGGGTTTGAGGGGTCATGACTCAGGTGGAACAAAGGCCCCACTGGTCCGGGGTCTGAAATGTGCCCTGAGAAAGGGCTCCTAATTCACCTGCAGATGAGACTGATGGGTGTCTCCTCCGCTGTGTTTGGAACCCTTTGGAGGCTCCATCCCATACCCTGCTCCACCTCAAAGGCAAAGAGCCTTTGACTGGAATCTGAGAGTTGGGGTTCAAGTAGCACTGCTGCTTCCTGCCTGTGTGTTCACCAGGAAGGCTTCCCCTGGCCGGGCTTCCTCAGTTTCCTTCTCTGTAAATTGTCATTTCCCCAGGAAATGATGGCTAGGGGCTTGAGTGACCCCAGTGGCTGCTGAGACGAGCCTGACACCAGCATTCCCTTCTTGCTGGCAGAGGCTGGTTTAAAATGATCACATTATTGCCCTGGGCGAAAAAAAGGATGAGCCAAAATGTCCAGAGTGCTGCTGGGTGATATTTTTAATGGAAAACATTGGACAACAACAAAACTTCCTACCATGAAATGAAGCTCTAGGAATCCCCTCCAAGCCCTGCATGCCAGTGAATGCCCTCTCTCCTTCCAGCCATCTTCCCCTCCCGCTCTCTTTCTGTCTCATATATTTAGTCACAAAACATGAGACGTGCTGCGACGATACAAATATATTTCAATCCCCCCATTACAGAATATCTTAACCATGGAGTTACAGTGGAAAGGATTTGCATTACATTAGTCATAAAGCAGACATTACTGCATTAACCAAAACTTTTGTTTTCCTGGGTGAACAAGTCATCACCAGAAGCACAAGTTCATAGCCAATAATGTGCTTGGTTGTGAAATATCAGGGGCTTCCGTTTCCAAGGGATGCAGCTTAGAGCTAGAAAACACTTATCCAATGGGGGTTATTGTCACAATATGAAAAATAATTGTCTGATTGGATTTACAACTCAAAACCACAAGTGTTATTAAATAAATAATCATTCTGGCTAGTGAGGATCTTCACAGATGCCTCATCATCGTGGGCCGTCAGAGCCAACGACATTGATGGAAGGCCCATAGGTGATGCCTCATTTGCGCCTTCTCTCATAATTCTGTGCTGTGCTCCATTCCGAGGACCCTGGAAGGAGAGAAGGGATCTTGTGTGGTCCGTGGAGTACTTAATGGGCAATCAAATGAAGGGCTAAGGAAATACTGGCCCTCACCCCAACCAATTCAGAAATGTTCTTCAATGTTAGCTATTTCTAAAGTCTTTGGTATCAACTTCTCCTTTTCTCCCATCTTCTTGCTTCTTGTACCTGGCTTGAACACTATTCCTTCAGAGTTTGTGATCACTTACCTGGTAAGCATGGACTTCTTTTCTTAGTATGGGATGAGATTGCTTCTCATATCTGAGCTGGGGCCCAGTCATGGCTGATGCCAGAAGGCCCAAGCAAGGCCACCATGACAAGGCAGCACAATGAGCACTGGGGCTCGAAGCCTAGGCTTGCTACCCTGCCACTCAGAGGGCATCTTCTCCCCTGACAAGACGCCGGCTTTAAACAAGGCACTGTCTTGCAACCAAATGGCCCTAGGTTTGGTGAAAGGGTTCATTGTGTCCTCTACCTTCTAGAAGGGACCTCATGATGTTTAATGGCTTCCAAGAGCTAATGGTGTTCTCAAAGAGCTCTGCAGAGAGCCAGAAAGCACCTGGGTTTTCTCCCTCCCATCCTTCTTCCTTCCTTTGTCCCTACCAACCCCTTCCTTCCTTCCCTCTTCCTTTTTAAATGTTCACCTCTTTCCTTAGATGTTATTGTCTTGCAGTTAAAAATGATGTAAAAACAATAGATATCGATAAAAGTCTATATTAAAAAAGGGAAATGAACACAAAGGCTCTGGCCAACTGTTCAGGTTGCTCTAAGGAAGAAAATCATCCTTGCTCCCCTTGGGCAGGTGCTTTGTAAGTAAAAAGAGACCCTCGGTGGGTGATTGTTTCTACTTCTCTAACCAGCTCTAGAGAACATTGTTTTTTTTTTCCATCAAAAACTGTATTAGAACAAGTGCAGACATAACTGAAGCCAGGGTGGGGTGGTCTCCTGACTATGGCTCCCCCATCCTGGGGGAGCTGGGCTGGGGCTCTGCTCTTAGCTGCCAGGAAGGTTCAGCTACTGTTTCTCTTGGGACTCCAGTCACCAATGCCTCATCCATCGCACCAAGGGCTGTGACTGAAGAATGATCAGTTTTGGGAGGAAGGGTTACTCAGTGGTTATTTATGGAAAACTTGCCCACAAACCTATGATTAATGAAGAAACTCTGAGGTAACACATGCACACACATACCCCATTGGGAACCGAGGAAATTATTAGAACAAATCTGAACTGTCACATAAAAATATACAGATAATTAAGTCCTGAGAGGTTGGGGGGAGGGGCAGAAATTAGCTGGATCAGTGACTTAGTCCTCTATTTGATTTTAGATAAGGGGATATAACTTAAGCCCATTACTAAACAATTTGTGAAAAATATGATAAATAGCCATGAAAGATATTCTCCAAGGGTAGGCGGGGTAACCAAGACTAAAACAAAGAAAAAACCGGGGCCCAATCTGAATGTGAATTAAGAGCAAATCTGCTCTTCTCCTTTACTCTTTTTTTAATTCAATTTTATTTTCACTTCTGAATTCTTTCCCTCTTCCTTTCTGTCGTCCCTCCCTCACCTATTGAGAAGGCAAGAGAA